AGGATGAGGCCATTCTGGGTGAGGCTTGGGAGCAAGAGGCTAGGTTCAGACACTGCTCCATCTTTCTGCATTAGCTATGCATTTTCACCAGCTATGAACAGAGCTTGCATGATGCACTCAGAAAAATCTGCACCAGAGGAGGTAACTCACAGTTGTGTTGCCACTGCTGAAATGCACCACCTCACCATGCTCACATTCACTGTTCAGTTTCTGTAAACATTCAGCAAGTGTTAATGGATGTCATTGGATGCCATTTTTTCCACAAAGAGGAATTCATTTTCCACATCTTGCAGTCATCCACACTTCCATGTCAAACACCTTTTGTCAGACTGCCGTTCTGCTGCCATCTGTCACTTGGCAACAAAATGCAATGGAATACTGGTGGAAAGATTCAACCTATACTACTGTACCAACAACCTCTGGCATCATGGGCCGATATAATAAAATAAGAGGCATTACTTTCAGAGCAGCCCTCATATAATTGAAAATACTTTCAACAAGATTAATCAAAACCTTTTTGTTCCACGTCATTTCATACGTGATATACTTTTTATTATGTGACCACTCAGTCTTTTCAGAGGAGTACCCATAACTCAGTTGGAGATCACTCAGTACATTTGTAATAGAACTAGAAACAATGAATCAGAAGTTTCTCCATTGCATTAGAGCCCTGGGTTGGGCCTTCTCTATCAGCACTGATCAGGGATCTCTTGTCTTCAGACATTCACAGCCACTGAAATGAATCATTTGTATCTTCACCACAAAATGATGCACATTGGTCTGCATCTTTCTATGACAAGGAGAAGAAAATGGCTAAGAAATGGTAACTGTTTCAGTGAAGGAAAGAGGTGGTAGCTAATCTGCTACTCACTGATACGGCTCATCTAAATTATCTCAGATCTGGAAGTACATGAGGGTGGAAATAAGGTCAGCAGAAGAATTTAAAGTGGAACTTGCAATCACCAAATGCAGAAATTCGCAGCAAATCTTTCCCCGACTCAGTTTTTGTGTTAAACTTTTAAGTGTGTTATATCAGTGTGACAAAAGTCAGATAGCACTGGCTCTAAATGCTCACTTGGTCTCTGAGGAATTTGTGAATTCATGAGGAGGATGGTGGAGGAACAGGGAGTAGAAGGATTTAACTACTGCGCAGGAAGAGAGAGAGAGAAAGAGAAGGAATCAAATAAAACGTGGAGCAGGAAAATCAGATCACCATGACAAATACAAATGAGTTCAGAAAGAGTTTCTGAGTAGAGTTTGCAAGAATGGTAACAAAGTTTAATATGCTGTGGGAACAAGATAATGAGATCAGGGAGTCAGTGCTAATCTGACCACTATAGAGGTATGGTTCTGGTACTCATACAAAGCCCTTTCTCACAACACAGCAGCTCAGGCCTGAGCCTGTTTGAATCTCCTAACGTAATCCATGTTATCCTGGGAACAGCTGGTTAGGAAAACCCAGCTGCTTGCTGTGATGTTACCTGTGATTCTGTAAGTAGGTCAGTGCTCAGTCAATAATACATTATTCAGTAGCCTGAGGATTGCTTAAGTTAGGCATTTCTGTTCGTGCGGTGATGGGCTAAATCTGAAGTCTTCCCGCCAAGGTCTCTGGTTGGAATCTGCACTTGGCCTGAAAGCTAAAAGCGGTAAGTGTGATGATAATAAGCATAACAGCACCAAAACTAGATGCCACAGACAGATTTTCCGTGGCTCATGGAATATTTTAGATGTAAATTCATCTGCACATGTATAGGTACTTTGCACTCTGGCGCTGTTTCCATTGAAAGGGCATATAAAAGATATAAAAATGAATCGTCATCATTATGGGCTGGACTTCTGCCAGCTGCTTAGTAATTAGAAATTTAATTGCCCAGTGATAAAAGTTTTAATTACTCGGCAATTAGTACTGAAAGTTTCAAGTGCTTCACAAACAACTCAATTGCATTCCTCAACTGCCAATAATGAAGGATGAAATAGCTCTAGGATGTCTCAGCAAAGCTCTCAGCAAGAGGGATGAACAGCAATGACCGAACGGCAGCAAAATATGTGGATAGCCCTGCTTGTCAGTTTGGCTTGGTCAAGGGTGGTGAGCACTGGAATAGGTTGCTCAGAGAGCTGGTAGGTGCCTCATCTCTGGGGACACTCAAGGTCAGGCTGGATGGGGCTCCAAGCACCTTGATTGACCTGTGGGTGTCCCTGTTCATTGCAGGAGAGTTGGACCAGATGGCCTTTAAGGATCCCTTGCAACTCAAACAATTCTATGATTCTATGAAACCCAAACTGTTGGATAGCTGAATTCTCTTTTCCAAGAGCAGGAAGGCCATAGGGAGGATGCTAGAGAGGAGGTTGCTACCAACACAGGGCATATTGACTGCCAGGCGAAGAACTGCCCTAGGTGATGCCTGTTCTTTTGATCACTTCCTCCCTCCCACAGTACTCCAAACACAGGGTCAAATGGACTATATCTGAATTGTCTCACTACAGGAAGGTAGTGAGCTCACACTCACACCCAGAGCAAAACCTTCAGTCAACTTGTGACCTGTACCATTACTTAATGCATTCACTCTTTCAGGCTTTTAGTCACATACAGTGCAAGCACCATTCAGTTTCTTAAGGAAGTTTTAATCTTAATTTATATGAATTTGATATGAAGCACCTAGCTCTGGAGGTGTTTTAATAAATTGCCTGACTCTCATCACTGCAGGATTTACAAGGGTTGCTCTGAAAGTAATGCCTTCTATTTTATTATGTTGGAGCATGACACCAGAGGCAGATGTTGGTGGTGTGACAGTAGAGGTTGAACATTCTACCAATATTCCCCTACATTTTATTGCAATGTGACAAAGGGCAGCAGAGGGACAGTCTGACAAAATGGTGTCTGACATGAAAGTGCAGATAAAGCAAAGGTGTGGAATTGAATTCTTCCATGTGAAAAAAATGGCACCCACTGACATTCATTCATGCTTGCTGAATGTTTATGGAGACCATACACTGGATGAGCACAGTGAGGTGGTGGGTGGTGTAGATTTTTACAGGTTTTTTGTAGGTGTGGCATGCAGGCTCTTGTTCGTAGCTGGCAAAAATACATAGCTAATGGTGGTGACAGAATTGAAAAATAGTGTTTTGTAGCTGAGAATTTGCTATATCAAATAGTGTTATTGTGCTCTTTCCATCTGCTGTAGTTTCCATAGAAATCAATAGGAGGTATTACTTTCGGAGCAACCTATGTATTTACAGTTTGTAGTATCCAGCTGAAGTTTATTTATTGCAACATCACAAACTATTTTAACTATACTATATTCCCCAGCTAGCTCAAGTCGAAAATACTCTCTCCTGGGTCAAGCATGAACTACTTTATACCTGGTATTATCCAATTAATTTTCCATATGCCAGATAGCAAAGGTCCTAATTAAGTAAATCTCTTAGGGCCTAGTTTCTTTCTCCTGGAATTGCTAGAACTTAAATATCATTAACAAGTCAAACGTTAACGAAGTCAACAGTTGGCAACAGTCCAGGAAACAGGACTGCATTTAGGCTACAGAGTTTAGAAAGAACTGCATATTTGTGTTCTTTTTCAGTAATCAAAGAAGAAAATTATCTGAGGAATTGTTTGGTCAGGGAGCAGGGACAATTTTTGCACAAAATAATTACAGATACTGCAGAATTTTTTTGCATGTCCAGCAAAGAGTTCTTTAAATAACATTCAGGTTTTCGACAGACAGCATGCAAAATCCATCATGAGGACTTTGGCAAAACAAGACAAAATTGAGCTAGTAAAAATATTTCATGGAAAAAAAATATGGTAGACTGAGGATGAGATTAAACTTCTCAGAAATTTAAAATAAGCTGAATGTTCTATTAAATGTTACTTGTAAATATATATATATATATATATATATATATTGGGATTGAGAGGAGAGGGGGGAGACAGTGAGGGAGATCATAGTGTCTTCCAAAACTTTTTCTCCTTTTTTAAACTGTTTTCCAAATTTAGCTACTGTTGAAAAACAGCTAAGGTTTAGAAGTGAAGCTTATGAGAAAATGCAGCAATAATCGTGCAAGCATGGCTTAAAAAAATGCCTTCCTTTTCTTGGGCATTAGAAGAAATCCAGCAAACCCTAAACATCAACATCCAAATCATATGCATATAACACTGAATGAAATATTTTTTCCCCTAAACTCCAAAAGGAATTTACACTTTTAAATAGTACTTGGCCAGTAATTATAGTAACTCAAAGCCTTTAAGTGGTCTGTAATACCACATCAGATGTTTTCTATACTCCTGACTATCAAGGTCATTGATTCTGCAAAGTCTTTTCCCAACTGATGTGCTGGGTTCAGGGAATATATCTATGCTTGCTTTCTTATTTCAATAGTTCATTTTGAAGCAGTGAATAAATATCTGATCGTTGACTGTGTCTAGCTTTAAGACTGCGTAGTATTAAGGTCATAATAAATCAGGATTCACCTCACTGAATGTAGCTGTCTTGTGCAAGCTGGTACCAGGCTTAATGTAGAGACATAAACATCTCCGAAGGATGAGTCACTCCTTCCAGACATAAATACTGGGGACAAATGAGGTGATCTAGGAGCTATCAAGTACAGAGAGATCAACTTCTAGACAGCAGAAACAAGGAGAAATGTAAAGTCTTATAACTGTGACAGCTGGAGAATGGCCTGAACAACACAGGTTGCATGTAGGGTCAGCATTGGTTTCCCCTTGCTGAACTAAGAGAGGAACACACATTTCAGGCTGTGGCTCAGAGTCCCAGGCTGGATCATAAATGACACTCTGCTGGATACTGGATACAACACAAGGAGCTGGTCTCTTCTCCCAGCATGTTGCAATCAAAACAGCCCATGTGTCCCATTTATTTACAGTGAGAAATTGTACTTTATAATGTTTTTGCAGTAGGCAGTTATTTAGCTCAATCAACTACTGAAAAAGTCCCATGTTTGGCACTGTGTAGAATTTCTCTTTTCCCATTACTATTTTCCAGCTATGCTTTACCCAGCTGCTCAACGGTTGAAGAGGTCCTCAGCTGCCTTCCTTAATCCAGTGCTACAAAACTCCCTGGAAGATGTGGTGCTGCTATATGAGGTTCAGTATATGGGAACAAATGGTACCTCAAGTGCTAACCAAATTCTGAGGTTATTGTACATGATGGGATTACCTATCACCTGTCTTTGTGCCACCTTTACTCACCCCAGTCATAAACTCACTGAACCCTAACCCTATATACTACCTCTTCAGAAGGGAGAAAACAGACATGTATACACCAAATAACAAACACCAAGCTCTTTCAGTACTTAAGCAGGCAGCAGCTGCCCACACAGTACTTCAAATGTGTTCTAGCTTACAGACAGATACAGGGAGAGTCAGAGCAAACAGCTTACCACTGAAAGTAGCTTTCTTCCAGAATAATCATATATTAACAACACAATGCATTTTAATTCTTTGGTCTGAGTCTCAGTCCCAAATTACTTGTTCAATCAATTAAAACAACAAGTATCAATCACTGCAAAATAATTCCAAGGGCATGACTGTTATCTTCAAAGATATTCAGGTCCTCTCTTGCCCAGCAGTGGAGACTACAATTCTACTACACAGTCCCGAACAGTGTTGTATGATTAGCTAAAGGAAAGTAGCCCAACTGAAGAATGGCCAAATCTAGTTATCCTACATGTTCAGAAACTGTTACTGGATGTTCAAGAAAGGAAGATGGGCTGGGAAGCCATTGCTGTCTCTGTCAGAGTAGACGGTATTTCCCAGTTGTGTTGCTGCCCCCATCTCTAAATCACATGTGATACCAGCAGCAACACATGCCTGTTTTGGACAAAAGAAGACTACCTGCTTTTTCCTTTTCTCTCTCCTTTCCCCATAGCTGGTCTCTAGTTTCCCTAGAGATGGATGTAATAGAGGAATCCAACATTCACAGATAGATATCTGATCTGCCCCAGCTTCAGTCAGTGGCACATGAGGTTTTTCTTAATCTCACCTATAACAAAATCCCAAGGACATGTTGTTAATTTGTGTTAACTCTGCCTAGAGTCTCTTGCAGAAGATAAGCAGCTTTCTGTGTTCTGATTTTGTGACAGTTTCTTTTAGCTGAGCTTGACATTGACAAAGGTCAGAGGATCTCCATCAAAGATGAGGAGCTGGCTTCGCTTAGGAAGGCTGCTGAGTTTGACACCATCTGCAATGAGGTTATTCCCAAGAGCATCACAGAGATCCGCAGGCTGAGTAGCAGGCTGTCCTCTTACCCAAGAGTCCTCAAGAAAGAAGACTTTGAAAGGACAGTGCTGACCATGGTCTACACAGCCTACAGGGCTGCTCAGTCCCAGGGACACCAGAAGGACACTTGGGTGGAATCCTTTGTCAATCTTTACAAAGCACTGAAGAATGACTTGATGTTTCCATACAACAAAGAGACATCATAGAAGGAGACTCGAAACAGCAGCTGCTCAGCCATTTCTTCTGGTTGATAAGGGGCACACTTAGCACGTCCACCCCTTCATTCTATGAAAGGTTTAACAGCCCGCTTCATGAGAGATTATTTGTTTTCTAGCTCCCTCTTGTGGAATTCACTTTATAGATACATGTTAAATGGGGAAAAAGCTTGTCTTCAATCTCCCCAGTTTTTGTTTGTTTGTTTGTTTGTTTGTTTGTTTTGTTGTTGTTCTTTTTTGTGTTGGCTTTGAGGCATTTTCTGTAAAAGGAAAATAGGGAAGTCTGGTGTATATCCCAGACAGATATGCCCTTATTTCATCTGTGTGTTTCTTACAAGCAATGTGCACGTGTGCTGGAGAATGCTGCTTTCCTCGCTGAGGAAATAACTTCATATTTCCGCTGCTCAGTAAAAGAATACTAAAAAGAGATGCAAAGGCCTTCTGTAAAAGGAAGAGGTTTCATAACTGTCAGCCTTCAGAAATTATGGAAAATATATGCATTCCAAATATTCCTGTAAACAAGCACTGTCTGACTCACTTCATTTGGCTGAGCCAGTTTTTAATCACAATAACATTCACAGAAAACAAAGGGCATTGTGACTACCAGCAGCAAACAATGCCTGTGAACATATTCCCCAGTCCCCAGAACCACCCTCCCAATGTCTTTCATTATTTGCACATGACTTTGCTTCTGCTCCTTTATTTTTGAGTTGAACATGGATTTATCCTCTGTGGAGTAAAAGGCAAAACAAAAGCTCTATTTAATTTAATGATGAAAATTTATTTTCTGATTCTATCACTTGAACTTAGATCATCTAAACCAGTGTGTCAAAATCCCTCTGAGGAAGGGGAAGAAGGTGGATTAAAACATACATGGTGCTGAATTCATCAGTGTGGCTCATTTCTGATTGTAAATTATGTTGTTCACCTGTGTATATGTGTGTGTGTTTGTGTGAGTGCATGTGAATGCATGGAAGAGTCTTATTTTATTCACTCAGGAAATAATTATATCCAAGCACCTGGAAGGAAAGGCTTTTCTTCAGTCTGGTGGTGGGAATAGTAAATGTGGGAGCAGAGGAAGAGCAGTACTTGTTTATAGCAAAGTCTGTTTGTAGAAGTCGTGCAACAGATTATTATAAACTGTTAAAGAAAAAGTGTGGAGACTGTGGCTTTAATGGACAGAGAAAGGAACTACATCTTGTGACAGAAATGGCAAACAATGAAGGATCCAAACTCTTCATACTTTGTCCACAGGTTATATAGATACTGGTTCTCTACTGGCGTTCGAGTTGTTTCTGCTTCCACAGTGTAAGAAAGAGATGAGCATATCTCATCCTTTTATACCAGCACTCTTTCTATTTACATAATTTCTTAAGGAGAAAAAAAGCAAACCAAAACTGAGGCTGTAAAGGATGACTGAGGATACCAAATCAGTTCCTGAGACATGTTTAATTGCTTCTGCATCACAGCTATGATGTGCTTCCATACATAGGGTGGGGTACTGTGGGTGCCCCATCTCTGGAGGTTTTCAAGCCAGGTTGGATGGGGCCTTGGGTGGCCTAATCTAGTGGAAAGTGTCCCTGACCACAGCAGGGGTGTTGGAACTGTAGGGGCTTTGAGATCCCTTCCAACCCAAACTATTCTGTGATTCTATGATTCTATAATCTGGGCAAATGGAGCAATAAGATCTACATCTCTTAACAGGAATACTCCAAGGCCTGGAGAAGAAAAAGCCCATTCAAAGCCATTTAAAAAGAAACACTCAATCAGTCAAAGCACACTGGGTTTGGCAATTGCTTGTGGGAATGGGGGCTCACAGCAGCCTTAGGGACAGGTTGAAAATGGCAAGAACGTCTGGAAAAATGGCATATGAAAGTCAGAATCAATCTTTCTTGTTGTTAGCAGTTTCACTATGAGCATTCATGAGTATACACAGTTGCAGGTACACACACATGTGTAGTTTCGCTTTTGCATCTGAAGGCTTTTGGTGGTCATTTTTGACACCTGACAGGTATACTTCAAAGGAAGCTGAAAATCTTAGCTACAAAAAAAAAAAAAAAAAAAGCTATGAGGCACAAATACCTCCATCTTCAGTACTTGCATACATGGATCAGTGCCCACAAAGAAGCCTTGCACTACAGCTCACATACCTTTCAAAGCCTCCAGCATAAACATTCTTGATGTTTGTTCTTTCTTCCCTTTTCACGCTTTAGAAAGAGAGGGAGCACATTTCTGCCTTTACGGCTTTGCTGCTTCTTGGCTCCCTAAAGCACCACTTGCTTGTAGACACACGAACAGGGGCCATTCATAAATCCTTTACAGACAGTGAGTCCAAATCTGCAAAGATAACAGGAAAGAGCATCTCAGAAAATCTTAATTACTGGCAGTCATCCTCCAGAGAAATATTTCCTGGCCACCCCACAACAGAACTGTCTGGCAGGCAGTATCACAGGTCCTTCAGAAAGGAATTGCAGATAGTTTTGAATACAAAGTCATTCCCAATAGCATACATACTTTACAGGTTGGTAGTTGAAACCTTTATCTCTGCAGCATAAAATAAAGTTTTTCTGAGTTTGTTTTGCCCCTTTCATTACTGCAGAAAAAGAAATTTATTTCTCAGGAATGTGCTTGGACTGCCCGATTTATTTAAGAGAAAACAATTACTGTAATAATAAAATATTCTACATAAAACTAATTGTATTTCCGTTGTATTGATTTCAGCAGATTTGCTAGTAAGAGACTGGCAGCAAGAAAAACTGGTTGTCCCAGTCTATAAAACTCAGTGGGATCAGTGGTGCAGGAGAGAAGGGGGCATAAAACATTCCCTTTAATGGTTGAGAGGAGGAAATAAATTGGGAGCAAGACTGTCTTTTTTATCCAGAGTTTGAATGGGAAGGAGCACTGTCTGTGGGCAGCATTCTGGGTTTAGGGCAGCTTCCCTCAGTACTGCATTTCCTGCCTCAGGTCCAGGGAGCCTGTTTCTAAAAGAGAGGGAGAAGCTCTGCTATCTATGCTTTGCTCCACTTGCCTTTCATTTCTTCAGAATGAGTCATGTTCATAGATGGTCCCTCTCCCATGGGGCACAGTCATTTAATTGCCTTTTTTTTAAAGAGGAGTCTTTTGTTCACCCTTTGACCTTGCAGATCATGAAGAAGTAAAATAAAACATAGTTTTGTTCATCTAAAAGAAAATTGTATATATTTTTTCTTTTTTACTCTGGAGTATTTTTGACATCCTTTAAGTGGGGGGTGTTTTCTTTGTGGTTTTGTTTTGTTTTGTTTTTGTTTTTGTTTTGTTTTGAAGCAACTGTTGAAACATATAAATTCCCTGGCTGTATTGTTCTACTGGCAATTTTTACATTGATCAGATTTTTGCTTTCAGATTTAATTGCTAAACTTACCTGAAGGTTCTCAAGGTGCTGATGCCTGATGGCAGTTTCAAGGCATAGAAATACTACACAGTCCTGGAAACACTTATGAATTTCAGGAAAAAAAACAGTGTTATGCATTAAACTCATCAGATGAGACAGTCTTCTCAGGCAAAGATCTGCCTTTCCCAGCTCTCCATGATCAGTGTCACAGAGATGCACCAACTCAGTCAGGGGAGCCAGCTTCCACTTGACTAGCAGGGTTTGAGGAAATGTTCAGCAAGCTGGATAGATTTGTAAGCATGGAAAACATTAGGTGTGAGATATATGGTAAATGGGTGATTACTGGTGGCACATGGGTCTGTAGATTAACTCTTCTGATTGATTTCTTTCTATTCCACGAGACCATTAGTCACAGAAGAACTGTAGAAATGCTCCTCCAATTGAAGATCAGAGTAGATAGACTAAAAGTTCTTAATTTGATCCTGCCTCTTACTGTCACTAATGAAACACATATCAATGCAGAGATTAGCCCATGCCCATGAATAAGTGACATTCATGGGTCAAAATGGAAGAAACATGGAAGACAAAAGTTACTCTTTATAAAAAATATGTATTCATCAGCACAGGGACACTAAAACCATAACAAACTGTCAATTGGAAAAAGATCTTGTACAGAAGAAAGAGAAGGCAGCTGATTTTTTCAAATGCTCTGACTGGGTTTTAGATAATGAGCTGAGCAAATACAGCCTCCTGCAGTCCTTATTGGTGAATTAGAGTTGGGGAAAAAAAAAAAAAAAAAAAAAAAAAAAAAAAAAAAGGTTTTAAGGTTTTTTGGGGGTCGTGGCTTTTTTTTCTTTTTTTTTTCTTGAGACTGAGTATAATCTGTATTGGAATTACTACACTGTGAATTCCAAGCTCAGGGCAAAAGTAGGCGAAAGGTAGATTCAGAGGGGAAGCTAAAACTACAAAGAGACAAAAATCTGAACAGAATGGAATATGACGAACTGTAATTGGCTTGTTTTCTATTTTTTTATTTTTTAAGAAAGAATTCCTACAAATTTGTTTCTGTGCAGTGAACATTAAATAATTTTCCAGCAAAAAAAGAAACTATATTTGAGAAATTCAGACTAGCTACCAGGGAAAAAAAAGCAGCACACCAGAAGATATCCCACCCAGCTTACGAAAACAGAAATTACTTTGCTGAAAATCAGATGATGGAAGAAAAGAGCCTTTCAAAATATGGGGATAAGGATGGAACACAGTCATAACTGTGACTCTGAATTAAAAAGAGAAAATGTCAAATGATCATTATGATCCAATTTGCAAACATCGTGTTATGGTGTGAAAGTCATTTGGATGTGCTGGTGAGCCCTACAAAAACTGAATGCCTTTTTAACAGAAAAATCATTAGGGTTTCTCTTCAAAACAGCAGACTGAAGAATAAGCAAATTAAGGGAGCTATCTGAGGTGGCTGTGTGAAAATAGGAAACGAGGCAGAGAGAACCCTGTCTGCAAAATCCAGGCTAAGGCAAAGGAGAACGTGGAGTGGAAACTGGACAATCTGAAGAAATTCAAAGAAAAGAAGATCACCAGTAAAGGGTATGGCAGTGGTGAAGGAGATTCTCCGATCCAGGAACATCTTGCTCGTTGTTCTCATTCCACTTCTGCTGCTTCCTCTGCCGCTTTTGTACCCCTGCAGCGTAAGTACATTTTCTTTTTCTACAAAGCCTCTGAGTACAGCAGGCGCTCTAACTGGATAAGCCTACAGTGGACAAAAACAGAGGCAAGGATCTAAAAACAAAAACGTTTCTCTCAGAAATATCAAGGACTCAGATTTGAAGGAGTGAAAGTTATTGGGCAGTCATCACAATAACAATCAGAGATATTATGAGCAATGTCACAAGCAGAGATGAAGAACTAGGTGAAGACTCATTTTAAGACAGACACTTTGCATCTCTACTGTTTCTTCAGTGGTGAGGGAGAGGTGTTTAAAATGAATGCTTAGAGTGCCTTTCATTTTTAATAACAAATACGCATGGAAGAACTTTTCATTTGGTGCGTGTAGAACAGTTGTTCAAGTGAACTAGGAGCTAGGACTTGGTAGGACAACACGTGGCATCTGCTACAATAAAGCAAGCGTATGTACTGACATACTGCAGTTCTGACATTGGCTAACAAATGATAGCTCAGAGGCATTCACAACAGTACAAAGGAGGGAATCTTTGCTTAACACATAAGCAAGGCAATGGCAATGAATACCCCTGGTTAACTTCTCTCCATGCATATCTCTGCTGTGGTCAAGCATGAAATAATAGTGTACCCCTACCATATAGAAATGGTGATGTTTAACTTGCCAACATTTGCACTGTCTTAAAAATTCTGTGGCTCTGGCTTTCACTGTGATAGACATAAATCTAGCTGAATGGTGCAGCAATTTCCATTCCTTCTTTTACCCTGTTAAAGATTAATTCTTCTTTCTAGCACTAGAGGATTTATGAATACTACCACTGTTGTCAAATGACAGTTCAAAGGATTAGAAAACTGTGGGTTTTTGTTTGAAAAGAAAAAACAGGATTCACAGAAAGATAATGTTTTTACACCAGTGAATTGTATTTTACAGTTTGAATGAGTTCTTCTGCACTCTTATAGTGGTTTTACATCTCTTGTGACTTGAGTGAGAATGGATGACAAGAAATCGTACTTTCTTCAGAGAACAGTAATTCCCCCTTTTTTGCAAAAACCTGTTTTTGAAAGGATTTCATCTCCCCCAGTGCAATTGAAGGGGCAACATAAAGAACAGATTTTCTGTGAAATGCTTGTATGATACTGAAACTACAGCATGCTCTGTATCCCCTGAGACCTTCTCATAGGCAACACAAGATTCACTGCATTGAGACTTGTTACCTATGTTTGCTCACTGCCAGACTCGAAGGA